ATAAAGAAATAAACTCAAGTACCTATTGTAATGGTTTAACCTTCATTGTCAATTTGACTGAGTATGGAACCACCCAGGAGACACACCTCTGCATGTGTCTTTGAGGGAGTTTCCAGAGACATGTAACTGAGGATGAAAAATCTACCCTGAATGTGGACCACACCATCGCCTGGGCTGTGGTCTCAGACTGAATAAAAAGGGCAAGTAGACACATTCATACAACAAGGACATCTGTTCAACCATATTCATACAGCACTATTTGTAATAGCCAGAACCTGGAAGCAACCTAGATGTCCCTCAACTGAAGAAAGGATGGAGAAAATGTGGTACATTTACACAATGGACTACTACTCAGTGATAAGAAACAATGACACCCTAAAATTCGCAGGCAAATGGACAGAACTAGAAAAAACCATCCTGAGAGAGGTAACCCAGTCACAAAAAGACAAACATGGTATGTACTCCCTCATATATGGATTTTAGACATAGAGCAAAGGATCAACAGCCTACCATTCACACCTCCGGAGAAGCTAGGAAACAAGGAGGACCCTAATAGAGACTTACATGGTCTTCCGGAGAAGGGGAAAGGGACAAGATCTCCTGAGCAAATTGGGAGCATGGGGGGAGGGGAGAGGGGGCTAGGAGAATGAGAAGGGGAGAAGAGGACGGGAGAGGTTGACATGAGAGAGCAGGAAGATATAGTCAGGGGAAGAATAGAGAAGAGCAAAAAAAGAGATACCATAATAGAGGGAGCCATTATAGGTTTAAAGAGAATTCTGGCACTAGAAAAATGTCCAGAGATCTACAAGGTTGACCCCCAACTAACAATCTCAGCAATAGTGGAGAGGCTACCTTCAACGCCCTTCTCCAATAATGAGATTGATGACTACCTTATATGTTGTCCTAGAGCCTTCATCCAGTAGCTGATGGAAGCAGAAGCAGACACCCACAGTTAAACACTGAGCTGAACTCTGGAATCCAGTTGCAGAGAGGGAGAAGCGATGAGCAAAGGGGTCAAGACCGAGATGGTGAAACCCACAGAAACAGCTGACCTGAACAAGTGGGAGCTCATGGACACCAGACTGATAGCTTGGAAACCAGTATAGGACGGTTCCAGACCCCCTGAATGAGGATGTCAGTCTGGAGGTCTGGGCAATCTATGGGGCCTCTGGTAGTGGATCAGTATTTATTCCTAGTACATGAATGGACTTAGGGAGCCTACTCCACATAGAGGAATACTCCCTCAGCCTAGACACACTGGGGAGGGCCTAGGCCCTGCTACAAATGATGACAGACTTTGATGATTCCCCCAAGGAAGGCCTCACCCTACCTGGGGAACAGAAAGGGGTTGGGATAGGGGGTCCGTGGGGGCAGGGGAGAAGGGGAGGGAGAGGGAACTGGGATTGACATGTAAAAGAACCTTGTTACTAATTTAAATTTAAAAATTAGAAAAGTAAAATAATCACAAATAAGAAAAAAAGGGCAAATAGAGAAATCCAGCAGAGTACTTCGTGGCTGGCCCCACAGACCAAATAAATGTTTCTCTCACCATGCCTTCTCCCCACGATGAGCTACATCTCTGTGAACTGTGAGGAGGGAAATCCTCTTCATTAAGTTGTGTTTTTGTTCAATATTTGGCCACCCTAATGAGATAAATGGTGAAAACATTCAAAATCCTTTCTTGTAGCTTTTTGAGATATATAGTACATTATCATTACCTTTAGTCATCCTACTGTGTAATAGCATGTCATTTCTACGTATTATGGGCCTTTGAATTCCTCTCTACTAGTTCTCTGAGTTGTTGAAAAATACAGTTAACCTCAAGTGCTATAGAACAGTAGGATTTATTCTTCCTGTCTAAGTATAGTTTGGGTATGATCCAACTCTCTCTGCCCCTCCCATCCACACACTTCCTGCCACTCAGTTTCAGGTCTTGGAAGAGCCTTGGGAATCTGTTCTTTCTTTCTTAGTTTTTCACTTTATTCCTTCAAAAATCCTATGCTGTGAGCAAACTGAATTTGGGGGGGAGTTTGCAAGGCAGGGTTTGTCTGTGGCTTTGGAGGCTGTCCCAGAACTAGCTCGTGTAGACCAGGCTGATCTCAAACTCACAGAGATCCGCCTGCCTCTGCCTGGAGAGGGCTGGCAATAACGGGCAAGCAAATTGAATCTTAAGCTTTCCCATCTTGTTGCTTTTGTGCATATATTTCCCTCCCAATTTCTAAACTGATACATTTTACCTTTTTTGAAGATTTTATTTATTTATTAAACAACATTCTGCTTCCATGTATATCTGCACACCAGAAGAGGGCACCAGATCTCATAACGGATGGTTGTGCGCCACCATGTGGTTGCTGGGAATTGAACTCAGGACCTCTGGAAGAGCAGTCGGCGCTCTTAACCTCTGAGCCATTTCTCCAGCCCACATTTTACCTTTTTTGTTTAAAGAATGTTTCATGTTGCCCAGGCTGACCTCAATCTCCCTAGTCAAAAATGACCTAGAGCTCAGGGCTTTCCTGGCCCCCACCCTCTAAAGGCTGGGGTGACAAGTATACATCACCACATTTGGCTCATTGTACCTATCATTTTTAAATCTCAGAAAAAGCATTGCCTTCGAGAGAGACATCCCCAAACCACGTGAAACCTCTCAATTTTTATGGTAATCAATACACACCTGTCTGGGGACACTTCTAATTTCCTACTTTCTTTTTGTTTATTTGGGTCAATTTTATCTGTCTTCTCAAGGAAATCAAGATTACAGCATGCCTAAAGCAATTTTCCACACTGTCTTCAAACTTAGTACCAGACAGATTATTCACTGTTAACTACATGAATGTTTCCAACATATGGTATGCGATTATTTTAGGTACCCCCTTTTTCTATTTTAGATAATGGTAATTAATGGTCAAAGTATTTTCTTTTGAAAATAAGCCTATTTATTGGGAGATGGTGGCACACACCTTTAATCCAAGCACACAGGAAGCAGACAGGTGGATCTCTGTGAGTTCCAGGTTAGCCTGGTCTACAGCTTGAGTTCCAGAACAGCAGAACAGAGAAACCCTGTCTTGAAAAAAATCTAACCAACCAAACAAATAAATAATATTTAGCTGAGAGGTGTGGTTCAGTTGATAGACCACTTGCATAAACCACAAGAGGCCCATCAACTTTAATACGAAGAATTTTAGTATGAGTGTTTTACCTGATTGTATTTCTGTGAACTATGTGCATGCCTATGGCTGCAAGGGCCAGAAGAGGGCATCCAGAACTGGGCACCATGTGGGTGCTGGGAATTGAACTTAGGTTCTCTGGAAGAGCAGCCTGTGCTCCCAATTACTAAACCATCAATCCAGCCTCATATTTACTTTAATGTTTTTAATTGGAATGCATTTTATCACTCTCCCCCTCCCCCTTAGCCACAGTACCCCTCACACTCAAGTTGATAGCCACTTTTTCTTTCTTTCTTCCTTCTTTCTTTCTTTCTTTCTTCCTTTCTTTCTTCCAAGACAGGGTTTCTCTGTGTAACAGTCCTTGCTGTCCTGGGACTGACTCTGTAGACGGGGCTGGCCTCACACTCACAGAGATCCACCTGCCACTGTCTCTCAAGTGCTGGGATTAAAGGCGTGCGCCACCACTGCCAGTCCACTTTTTCTTTTTAGTGAGGCTAAAGATCTTTTCTTGTATTTGTCGTTTTTTTCTGGAAATGACATATCTATTACTCATATTTATCTTTCTACTGGCTTGTAACAGCTTCATATATAAAGTATACAAATTCTGCTGCATTGTTCTGTTTTATCCTAGAACAATCTCTAGTTCCTCAAAGCTTCTATCACATATGACCTGTGTTGATAACTTAAATCTAAATCTGTTGATGACTTAAATCTAGATCCCTAGTTCTAGCTGTTAACTAGTTTTACCTATGTAAAACTAAAACATGTGCACATTTATAAAGTCACCGGATCTGTGACTGAGTTTCCTTCTGTCCTCAGTCTTTTGAACTTGTGTGACTAGGGCACACTCGCCAAAATCCTGTTCTTTCATCTGTAAAACACAATTAGATCTACTTCATAGGCTTAATTACAAAATGAGATTTATGCAGAACTGGCATAAATACTCCATAAATGGTAGCACTATCTCCCTCTCCTGGCTTCCCAACTACACTAAAAATCCACCACCCTGCTAGTATGTCTTGTGACTCTATCCTTTCTTACACACATGCACCCCATCCCCAAGGGAAGTTCCCAATATCCTGGGGTGTACAAGGCCATGCATACATAACCATGTGCATGTTACTTCCAGCTACACTACAACTGCACTCAGGCCAAAGAATCTGTTTTATCATAATTCGATTGTTTCCTGTACTGCTCACTGGCAATCATACCCTCCCTTCAGTTTCCTCACTCAGATCAAATGTGAGTGCTTCCTCAGCCCTCAGCCAGGGTAGTCAAATCATTGTTTTATATCCATGTTTCCCTGCTTGATTCCCTCACTAGACTGTGAGTTCAGTTTTACTACTACTGTCACCAGGCTCCAGCACAGAGTCTAAAATTTTACATATTTATTGGATAAATGGAAAAATGCATAGGTTTTTTATCTGTGGAGTGGAATTTTAACCTCTGATCTCCTACTGTTCTATGGTTCAAAAAAAAAAACCTCTTAGTGTCCACACCTCCTCCTAGCAGTTAAAATGTGTTACCCAGGTAGTGACTGGAGTCTGAGACTGATCCAACTTAAATTACTGGTCTCAATGTGTAACCTAAGCAGTGTTGAGACCAGAGTCCACTCCAATCCCAAGAAACACTACAGTCTGAAAACTTATCCAGGGCCTAATGGGCAGCACCACAAATGGAAATGACCTTTTCAGATTCTCTAGCTGTATATACACAGAAGGTACATACCCAGGGACAACAGTAAGTTTTGTGGCTAGTAGAGAAAAAGACACAGGACACTTCTCAGAGTCTCTTCAGCCTTAAAGCCAAGCTTTACATAATCTCTAATAAGCAAACAACAGGACAGTCCCCCCCCCATTTTGTTTAAATAGCGTATTTTCTCAAAGCCAGGAAACAATTACAGAGACGATTCCAAAGTAGACAAGTAAATTAAAAAATGAGAAACAGTAAAGACACATCCATTGTTCCACAATAAATAGAGTTATATTTAGTATCCCCCACTAATTCCACATGAGAGGCCCAGCTCTCTGTGGGGTCAAGAGTGCTCTCCATTATTGTGTAGGGGGACTAGACAGCACTCAGGTATGGTTAGGTCAAATGGTGTGAACACAGGAAGCAGTGAGATCAAGGTCCACAGTTCGGGTCCTTGTTTTGGGTAGGGTTTGATGATTCTTAACTTCTTCCACACTGTGCCGGATGCCATAGCCAAAGTAGATAGCAAATCCTAGTAGGGAAAGACATAGTTGTAAGCTGAAAAGGCTTACTAGGTCTCCAAGTGAGAAAGGAGTCAGTGTAGGACACCTAATAGGCTTACTCTTCGAAAACAGACACATACCAATCAGCATCCAGATCCCAAATCGGGCCCAAGTGCCAGATGTCATTTGCATCATCAGGTAAATATTCACAAAGATGCTCACCAGTGGGAGTAGAGGCAGAACAGGCACCTGCAAAACAAGAAAAATCTTTACATACAACACGATGATTCTTACCTCACAGGGGACAGAGTAGGCCAAGTTTGACCCCTACTCATGACATATTAGGCTCCCCAAATCCAGAACTTAAGAAAATGGAACTAGAAAGGAAGGAACTACAGAGCATCAGCAGAGTCTGACCTAAATAGTTCTGACAGCAACCCTCTGTGCCCAATTAAAGAACATAGGCTACAAGGCCTAATTATCCCATGTTGCATTGGTTAGGGAAAGAGACATCATTTACCTTAAAGTGAAGGGGTGTGTTGTTCTGTGGCTGTTTCCAGATAACTCCAACAATCCCAAGAATGAGTCCCAGGATCAGCACAACCACGGTGATCCACACTGGGTCACCAGAACTAAGTGGAGTTGTCCACCATGTCAGCACCAGGCAAAGAACAGTCAGCAGTACAGCTTCAAAAATCAAGGTGAGAGGCATCAAACCAACTCTTGTGACCAATATGCAAAGATGTTAAGGCATCCCATTCCCACAAGGGTTACCCTTTTGCTAGACCTCTCTCACCAAATGTCACCACACAATGCCCCCCTGTTATACTGATCTCTCGAAACCTCCGCAAAGAAAAAAAAAAGGCCATGCCCAGGGCTGGTAATATGGCTCAGTGGTTAAGAGCACTTGCTGCTCTTGAGGAAGACCTGGGTTTGGTTCCCAGAACCCATATGGCAAGTCAAAACCAGTTATAATTCCAGTTCCAGAGGATCAGATGCCTTCTTCTGACCTTTGTAGGTACCAGACATGCACACTTTGCACATACATTCATGAAGGCAAAATACTCATACATATAAAAATAAATAAACCTTAAGGGTCTGGAAAGATGGCTCAGAGGTTAAGAGCACTGGCTGCTCTTCCCGAGGTCCTGAGTTCAATTCCCAGCATCCACATGGTGGCTCACGATCATCTATAATGAGATCTGGTGCCCTCTTCTGGCATGCAGGCATACATGCAGAGCACTCATACATAAAATGTAAAATTTTAAAAATTAAATAAATAAACCTTAAACAAAAGAAAACATCCACTACTCACCAAGCAGCGAGGAGCAAACATAGACAACTCGGCCAGAAAGGAGGGTAGGAATGGAGCTGACTGGACAAAACAGAGCCTGGACAGTCAGCTTCTCTGCTTCAAGTGTCTTCTCCTCCTGCAATTCCGCTTCCTCTTCATCATTCTTTATTTCCTGGTCAGGCTGATATCTGTGACAAGAGTTAAACAATTTTAAAAATATCTCAAAAGGCCTTTAATCCCAGCACTCAGGAGGCAGAGGCAGGTGGATCTCTGTGAGTCTACAGCCTGTTCTACAAGAGCTAGTTCCAGGACAGCATCCAAAGCCACAGAGACACCCTTTATCACCATTAAAGGTAGAAGTTTGTGTTGGGGAAGATGGCTCAACCTGTAAAATATCGACCAAGGAGCTAGAGGGATAGTCTGGCAGTTAAAGAGTTTTCACTTCTTTTGCAGAGCACCTGAGTTCAGTTCCTAGCACCCTCATTGAGCACTTCATGATTACTTATAACTCTAGTTCCAGGGAATTCAATATCCTCTTCTGGTCTCCAAGGGTACCAGACAGACAGACAGACAGACAGACAGACAGACAGACAGACAGACAGACAGACAGACAGACAGACAGACAGACAGACAGACAGACAGACAGACAGACAGACAGACAGACAGACAGACAGACAGACAGACAGACAGACAGACAGACAGACAGACAGACAGACAGACAGACAGACAGACAGACAGACAGACAGACAGACAGACAGACAGACAGACAGACAGACAGACAGACAGACAGACAGACAGACAGACAGACAGACACACACACACACACACACACACACACACACACACACACACACAAT